CCCATGGTACATAGTGGTGTATTTTTAGTTGTGGGTCCTTCTAGTTGTGGCATGTGGGGTGCTGCCTCAGCATGGCTTAATGAGCGCTGGCATGTCTGTGCCCAGGATTCGAACCGGCGAAACCCTGGGCCGCCAAAGCAGAGCGTGAGAACTTAACCACTAGGCCACGGGGCCAGCCCCGGAATTGTTAATATTTTTTAAATAAACTTTTTATTTCTGAACAGTTTTAGGTTTACAGAAAAGTCACAAAGGAAGTACAGGGAGTTCCCATGTACTGCATGCATATGCCCCTATTATTAACATGTTTTGTGTAGTGTGTTTGCTACAATTAATGAACTAACATTGATAACATTATTATTAACTAAAGTGTACAATTTATTCAGACTTCCTTAGTTTTTAACTAATGTCCTTTTTCTGATCTAGGATCTCATCCAAGATCCCACATTACATTGAGTCTCCTTAGGTTCCTCTTGGCTGTGACAGTTTCTCATGTTGCCCTTGTTTTTGATGACGTACAGTTTTGAGTAGCACTGGTTAACTATTTTCGAGACTAGCCCTCTATTCAGATTTGCCTGATGTATTTTTCTCGTGATTAGACAGGGTTGTAGGTTTATGGGAGGAAGTCCTCAGAGACAAATTGCCATTTTCATCACATCATTTCAAGGTTACACACTATCAACATGACTGATCACTTTTGATGTGAACCTTAGTCACATGCCACAGGTAGTGTCTATTAGACTTCTCCACCGCAAAGTTAACTTTTTCCTACTTTTGATACTGTACCCTTTTCCACCTTTCCGTGCTATACTCTGCTTCTCTATAAGCAGGTCACACTTAAGGAGTGGGGAGCTATGCTTTGCCCTTGAGGGCAAAGTATCTATACAAATTATTTGGAATTGTTTCAAATGGAATATTTACCTTTTCTCCATGATTTACTAATTCGTTCAATCACTTTTTCATGTCAATATGAACTCATGTATATTTATTTTTAACTTCGCATCATAATCCAATTCTACTTTATTTTGTAGCTCAAATGTTTCCATCTTTGGCCACTGGAAGCTCTTTCAGTTGACTGGTATGTCCCTTTGATATACTGTAGATTTTTTTTCTTTTTAACCAATCCTTTACCTCCAGAGACTACAAGATGCTCCAGGCTCATCTTGTATACTTCCTTCCCAAATCCTAGAGTCAGTCAATTTTTCAAGGAAGAGCCCTGGTTCCTTTTATTGAACAATAGTATTAGAAACCATGATGTGGGTGACATATGTGCTCATTATTACTAGAGTGTTATTACTTCTATATCCTCTCAGCTGACAAAGCAGGGAACAATGTGTGTGTATACTAACAACCACATATACACATATCTATAAATATTTCTATTAAGTGGCTCTTTGTGTCTATATTAAGCTAAAAATGGGTTTTTACTGATATCTCTAAATCTAATCCATTTCCACATACATCATTCTAGCCTTCTTCCTTTGCTTAGCTGTAATCTTCCACTCCAACACTGAGAAACCTGGTTACTGCCATTGGCTACATGTTTACTTAATTGTTCAATCTCAATATACGTGTACAGTAGTATTAGAATTATTAATCCATACTCCCATGTGAAACAGCTTTAACAATTATAGTATATTGCTTATGCATAGTTCCTTTTGCCTTTAGTCTTGCAGACCCCACTCCTTTCCAAGGTTCTTAGGTCAGCACATTTACTCCCACCTCTTTCAGTGAATTTGTTTCATACTTTTGTAATACAGTTAGATTGTTTTGCGATATTCTGCATTTCACCCTGTGATCTTCCAATATCCTAAATAAATTTTCAAACTTTGTATACATTAAGGTTCAGTCTTATGCTGCACAATATCATTTATCCAGCATTACAGTATCATACACAATAGTTTCACTGACTTAAAAAATTTCCTATGCTTCATCTATTAAATTCTCTCCCCTTCCTCAGACCCTTGGCAAACACCGATCTTTTTACCATGGCTGTAGTTTCACCTTTTCCATAATGATATATTCTTGGACCCATACAGTATATAATCTTTTCAGAATGACTTCTCTCAGTTAGAAGGATGCATTTAAGATTCATCCATGTCTTTCGGTGCTTTGACAGCTCATTCTTAATAACATTCTATGGAGGTGCGTTGCACAAATGTACCACGGTTCGTCTGTACATTCGCCTGTTGAAGGACGTCTTGGTTACTTCCAGTTTTCAGCAATTACAAATAAAGTTGCTATAAACATTCACATGCAGGTTTTCGTGTAGATGTAAGTTTTCAAATCAGTTGGATAAATACCTGTGAGAGCAATTGCTGAATTAAATGGTAAGATTATATTTAGTTTTGTAAGAGGCTGCCAATCTGTCTTTCAAAGTCACTGTACCATTTTTCATTCTCCCCAGCAATGAGTGAGGGTTTCTATTGTGCTACATCCTTGCCTGTAGTCGGTATTGTCAGTATTTGGATTTTAGCCAAACATTATTATTTAATATGGAAGGTCTAGTGAGGAAGAAGCAGATAGCATCAATAACAGCCAAAGCGCTAAAAAGTTTTATTTTTTTATTTTTTCTGAGAACAATTATCCAAGTAAAGTGCTTTAAAGTCAACTGCAGAACACTTTAACAGTTATTTTGTTAAACTCAACACATCATTAATAAGTCACCTCTATGCTTGAATGTAATTTTTACTCTAAAAAGAAGCTAGAACCAAAGATGCAACTAGCAAGTAGAAGAATCTACTGTAAGTCATGTTATCAATGTCAAAAAATTAAAAATGTAACAAAACGCAATCCAAAGTATATCAAACGATTTGATATTTTGAACTGTTTATTTCAATAGGGGACTATCTACAACTTGTGGATTTTAGAGTATTCATTTAGAAACTCACTTATTCCGTGTTGCACTTTCACAAATATAAGAATAAAGTGTTATGACATATAATAATCAGAAGTTTCTGTCAAATTATCCACACCATTTCATGTTCACTGTGAGAAACCTAAGCTAGAACAGTTGATAGTAAATGATCCTTTTATCACAGGATTACTAGACGATATCTGTTCTACAGAAGTAACTCAGTGGAAGATGTTGGGTGAAGTTTTCTGTCAGTGGTACCAAATGTTGAGCTAAAATAGCAGGGGATCAAAAAAGAGCATCACTTATATGGGTAAGCTAGCTTAAAAAAACCTGTGTGGAACAAATTAGCATTATGTAGCATTGAGAAATGTACATATAAATTAAGAAACAGAAAGACATTTTGTGAATTTGGCTTTATGAAACCTGAATATAAAACCAATGTGTTTTATAACATATACACATTCACCATATTTTGTTTGTTTTGAAAATTTGAAGTTCTTACAAAATTCTTACAAGAGCTTAAACATAGGGGGCTGTCTGCCTCTCATGTTGAATCCGTCTGGAACAATGGTGTAAATAAGTATACTCACCCAGGAGAACAGACTCTAGTCAGCACAAAAGGACCTCATCAGAGAAGCCTTTTAACATAAATTTTTCTATGTTCATAATTGCCTCGGCTCTAATTCATATTAATTCACAAGTATCGTGAAGTGTCAAATAATAAAGTCAAGAATAACTTATAAAGGCATCTGAATAAGTATGCACTTTAAAATGAGAAAAAAATGTTTCTATATGGTGACCTACATTCTATACAAAAAAGACTTCTGTATTTTGTGATTAAAACTCCTTTAGGCAGAACAGAGATAAGTTAGGTGGAAACTCCAGCTTGACTGAACATATAAGCGATGGGGTTTGCAACTGTCTTTTATTTGAGAACTTATACCTAAGAAAAATAAAAGTCGTCCTGAAATGGCTGTGCATACTGTCTACTTCAGACTCACACTTCTGTAGTTTGCTAATAACCTTTCCATATTATGCTGAGCTGTAATTTTTGAAGCCATATTTTTAACCCAAGTAGTTGGCATAATTTCTAAAGCAATTGCTTTATTCTGGGAAATCTAGCTGCCATGATTAGTGGTTTGACTGCCGTATTTCCATACAAGTAAGTTCCCACTGATGTACTTGTGGTTTCACATATACCAAAAAATATTCTACGAGGAGTGCTGGATGGAAAAGATTGCTCATCTCACAATGATCTTTCTGGCCACATAGACATACCACAATCTGTATCAGTAATCTTGAAATTTTGGCAGTCATAAATACACATCATTCTTGCCAATATATATTCTTTGTTTCTACCATTTTCTTTTGATGTTTTAGCCTTTAGGAAATGAAAGAAAAAGAAATATGTCTCTAAAACATTTCCAAAATTTTCACTGAATACACCAAACTACTTTAATAATTGGCTTAGATGAAATTCAGAATCACATTTTTAGAAACTTCAGTTCTGTATATATATATGTAGACTTCCCTTGCTGGAAAGAGAGTATAGTCAGAGTGGAGGCACAGCCAGGGTGAAGCAATTTCAAGTGTCCCTTCAGAATAGGTGCAGTTAAGGCACATAACAGGATCAGTGGAGGACAACAACTTGTTTTTCCTTCAGTCTATGCTCACCCAGGAGAACAGACTGTGGTCAGCACAAAAGGACCCCATCAGAGAAGCCTTTTAACATAAAGCATGTCATGAGTATCAAAAATGTGACTTGAGTTTTCCTCTTAAATACCATCACAGCTGACCTTTTGAAACAGAGTTGAAGTTTCTCTCTGCTTGAAATTGCTGGTTCTCATGAAGAACAATAATCAATTAATGCATTTATTTTAATCTCGTCTGGCCTTTCTTGAGAGCAAGTGCATTCCAAAATACTTCTCTGTGTTATTTAAGTCCTAGTGACATTGTTTCCTTTGAATTCGCTATAGCAATTTTCCTGCTAATTGTTAAAGAAAAAGATAAGTGATGTAAGATGCAAGTTATTACCTATTATACGAGATAAAAAGACTGTTGAACAGTCTTTAACATGTAAGATTCAAAATGATAAAACATAGCCTTCCTTTTACTTTTCCATTTATTTTGTTTTGTTAGTTGTCAGATAATTTTCATGCATTGCTTTTTGGGACATTTTTATCCAATTTTCCTTTGACCTTCTAATTTTTAGTTGGGGAACAGTGCAGGAAACAATCTGGTTTTGATGGAATCCCAAATTTTTGTTAGTGTATGTGTGTTCTAAATAAACTCAACTAGGTCATATGACTCATGAGCTTTCCATGCTCTCAGTGACTATTTTATGTCCACAAGCTTTCTAATTAATTTTGTTTGATCAGACAAACAATGTTGATTGCTTCTTTTTAAAATAATTAAACTGGTGGCTAACAACGAGGTACTGCTTTAGGGTTTTTGGTGAAATACCTTGTAAAGGTTTGTATAGACTCGATCAATTTGCAGAACAGAAATAAGTACTCAAGCCCCTTTTGGCTTTCAAGGACAGCTGTTTTCTCTAGTTTCAGCCCTCTGATTAAGGCTTCAGGAAGGGACACAGAGCGATGAGATATGCAATTGCTGCCTTTGGAAGACTTAACAAGCATGTAGGGGATTTCTATGTTCTCTGCATTTTCTTTTCTTTATAAGTACAGCAAAAGGAAAACTTCAAAAACGCTACCCAAAGGAGTATAACTCAACAGACGTCAAAGGTAAGTTTTATTTGAAAACATTTCAAGTAAGTATTCTAATATTCATGTTCTCACATATGAAGCTTCATTATAAAGCCTAAACACATACCAGCAGGTTCCTATAAAATCCAGAAATACAACAAAGTCTCTGTGAATCTAAATATTTCTCTCCATGTAAACATATTTAAGAATACTTTTGTTTTGATATTACAATGTACTATTGTCTTATTCATTCCAGCATTTCTTTGCTGGCATTTTCAAGGTTTGATGTTTCCTTGGACACAGTAGCGCCTCTGAATTCCTTTGAGACAAGCATCATCTATCTTGAATTAACCTGAAAATGTGGCAAGCCATTCATACTTTTGAAGAGAAGCACAGGCCTCACTGCTCCAGTGTAAATATGCTCTGAGGTCTGTCTTTCAATGTGTCCCTAGGGGTAGGAAAGATGAAAAAGGAGAATCTTAGAATCATGCTTTGCCTTGCATTCAGCTTTATTATGAAGGGACAGAATTCTATACACAGATTTTGAGAAAAACAGACACAGAGGCTGGGATAGTTTCGTGGCGTCTGCTGTCCTCTTTTACAGGACTATTGCCAGACATGCACTATTTACCTAGGAGCCATTGATTCAATATTTATTTATAACTAATATGTAAGTAAAAGATGAAATATGTGGTTTCTATGACAATCTTTTTAAATCTTTGGTTTATTTGGAGGACTTTCTTTCTTTTTTATGCCAAGAATAGCTAATGTTCATGAACTTCATGAACCCCATTACATGACTTTCCCAAAGTCAAAGACCAGACTAGAGCTGTAACTCTCAGCATAACATGATAGTATTAAATTTTAAATCTTAGTTCAGTGGTTCCCTGTAAATCAGACTGAGTTGTTCTAAAGCAAATGTAGCTTATCTAAGTAATATTTTTTAATTACTTAAAAATTCAAGTAAGGTATGGTTTAATGATTTTCAAACTCAAGTGATTCTAAGAAAGTAATATTTGTTTTTCTAGTTGCCATTGATGACAAGAAGTCGTGAAACAAGTGACCAGCTTATCTTCAGGTATTTTCCTGTTTAATTCCTTTTATGTAGAAAAGATGAAAACTGCAGGCATTACCAGAGGCTTAAAGAGGAATCACTGTAGAAATAGCTTTTTACACAATTGCATCATACATCTTACTCCCTAGCTTGCAAGTGGTCCAAACTGACTTAAAAGTGAACAGGTCAAATATCTGTGCACAGCCACTTTGCCAAGTGTGGGTTAGCTGATATCGCTGAATATTTATGACTATCCCCTCACTACCTGTCTCCTCCCATTCCCTGTACTGTCTAGTACAAGTTGTTTATTGTTTTTCAATTAAAGCAGATATGGAGAATAAAATAAAGAACTGAATAGCTAAAGGAAGTGTGTGTATGTGACAGAAATTAGTATAAGCTGAATGTTTGCCAAAATCTCTCTGCATACACTTCTTACATATATTTAGCTATTGAATACCAATTATTTATGATACTGATAGTAAACAACTGATTTTGAAAAGTATATAAAAAAAGCAAAATGACACAAAGCACTGGAAACTAATAGTTTTAAATTAGTCCCAGAGTTAAATTAATTTTTTTTCAACTACTAGTAGACTTAGCCATAAAATTCTTTTATTTTTTTCTTTCAAAATGTAGCCAAGAAACAAACATCTTTCTTTGCTTTCTTTGCAGGAAAGAACCAGTATCTGGATTATTTCCAGGCCATCCAGACAGTTATTTCAACTGGAACAAGTGACCTTTGGAACAGACTAGAACATAGCAGTCTGGCCAGACAGAGGGGAGGGAGTAGTCAACTGGGAAGGGCCCCAACATGTTCTTGTGAAATGTCACTTGAAGTAAGAGGACAATAAAAAGTTAAGGACAAATAAATGAACTTAAAAATATTTAAGTCAATAAAAACTGTGTGACCACAATATGGGATTCAAGGGAAGATACAGTCTGAGACTTTAGCTGTCATTCTTTAATAGACGTGCTCAACAAATATAGTTCTTCATTCCCTTGAGTACAGATAATGTCCCTTAATTATACAACATTCATCTTTGAATATTCACAGCCTTGTAGAAGCCCAATAATTATGTTTGTCCTCCCTCAATTGGGCCATATTTCCTTAGTTTCTGATTCTATGGTGGTTGTTAGATACTCTTAGAGAATTGTCAAGATCTTTATTTAGTAAATTATTACTGCAGGAAGATAGTTAAAAGTAAAGATTTCATTAGAGAGGAGAGAGTGATTATCTCCTTTGAACATTTACATAGAAAGCACGTGGTTCTTTTCTTTCACAGAGAGCATAAGAAGTTTTAGTTCACAGCCTTAGCAAGAAGCATGCTAAAGAATCATTCAGCTTTTTACTGAACGCTTATGGGTATAGTGCTGGGCTTGGCCCAAAAAAGATATGACAATGTTAAGGCAATACCTCCTTCAAGATTTTTGGAGAATAAATAGAAAAGTTAAAAATTATTAAAAATATTTTAAAAGATTTTCCAAGACAGTATTTTATAGGTTTATGCAAAATATATCAATAATAAGTTGATAAAGTACAATTTACTGATCAAATGCTATAGAACTTCAGAATGTCCTTTAACAGAGAATTTAATTAGTACACTAGTGTGTACCTGGGAATTCTTTCAAGAAGATAACTCTCACAGCTTCTAGCCGGGTTCCCTTTACTGAAAACAGCAACATTTAAAAGCCTTACTGCGTGTTCCAAAGTGCCTATAGAGTTGTTTGCAAACTGGAAAAGTTTGGCTTGATAAATTTTGAGTGTGCCTCTGAATGAATGCCAAAAATGTGGCTACGATAAACGACATAGCGTAAGTTTTTGCAAACTTTTAGTTATACAATTATAGTGGTACTATTAACTGACATAAAACCCAAAGTTGGTGATATAGAAATAAGAAATTCAGCTGTTTCAATTTATCATGTAATGTCAGGAAAATTTGAACTGAATCTTTAAATTTGACTCCTACTTAAATTTACCAGTTTTTGAATATTATTTAACTATGATTTTGGAAGTAGTGTGACTTGAGTCCATGAACTAGAGTGAAAACAAATGAATCCAGAGAAGGGTAATGTCTTCTGCTATTTAAATAATATCAATATTTCATAAAAACTCACTTGAAAGCAAGGAACTAAGACCATAAATTATTTTAGGAGGGGGTCTCCTCACTAGAATAAGGGAATCCCACTCTGAATGAATTCTAAGGAAAATATGTTTTAAGGGAGAGATTTCTAGAAGTGCATTATATTTTTACTGTAACAACATAAGATCAAGACATGGAGCAAGTATAAGAATTAAGGTTTGTGTCAAATTTGCAGGATGAGCATTGATGGAGGAAGTTCTTGAGAAATTTGTCTGAGGCTATCTAGGAAGGAAAAGACATTTAAGTTAGGCCCTTCCTGCAGGAGACACGGGGGTCTGAGGGCAATACTAGCCATGCCCATGGCAACAGAATGTTAGCTGCCTAGAAGGGGTGTAGTTTGGGTGGAGTCTGAGATTTAGTTGTCAAAACTGAGTTCAAGATTCTTCAAGCAATTTAACAGAGGCTGAAATCCAAAATAATGAATAAATATTGAATTTGGAACTATATATGGAAACATTGGAACAGAAAAATATTAACAGCCAGTTTTTTTTATGGTTATGTTAAGAACATCAAAAAACGAAAAAAAAAAGTCAGCATTTAGAAATACAACGCAAAATCTATCTGAAAGTGAATTCCAATAATGTGACCAACATTTTTTGAAAAAAATTCAAATCCAAAACATAGGAAACAAGAAGAGATGAGGGAAATTATTGCTATTGGTCTGTCTTGATAAGTCTCGCACTGGATATCTAAGATTATAGGCACTAGCCAGTGCTAGGTACCCAAATTTAATCAGTTAAATATAAGTGCTCTTGGGGAAGTTTTTGGTTCACACAGAACATTAATACACGTTGGTTTTCATTTATTAATTCATGTTTTTGCCTTACTTTTCCTTCATGACAATAAGCTAACTGAAGGGAGGGATCTGGTCATCTTCAATTTAACAATCTCTGTTAGCAAACTTAGTAGATGTTTTCTTACCCACATAATACATATTATTCACAGAATGAGTAATAAATGAATTTTGTTGAATGGATTGATGAATTGTTTACTGGTGTGCAAAGGCTGTGCATGTGAGTCCTGTGTGTCTTTAAAATATTTGACATTGTGTTTTGAATAGGTTCAAAACTTCTTCATGACATTCCAGTTAGCCACAACTCAAGTCCTATGACCAAGTCCACTGTTTTAAGACTATCCACCAAGACACCCTTTGTATTATTACTAGGTTAAAAAGGCTCTCAATTTTGAAAAGAGATATTTACGCAATACAGTTATTGCACCAGATGCTTCTGGTGAAAGGAACCAAATTATGACCTCTCTCACCAGCAGGATCAAGTCCACTGTTTTCACAACTGAAAGATATTTGCTCATAAAGTTAAAATGTGTGTGGGCTGTAAGAAATGAAGTTAAAGCTCTTTCTTCCCTCCTTCCTGCCTCCCACCCTCCCTCCCTCCCTCCCTTCCTTCCTTCCTTCCTTCCATCTCTTTCTTTTTTTCTTCAATTCCATTTTGTAAGCAGGAAAATGTCATGTAATTAGCTTCAGAATGTGTCTACATTAATTAGACATTATTGAATGAATAAATTATACAATTTATTTAAAATCATTTATTCTTGGCAAAGTCAAACATATCATTGAGTTTACATAGAAATACAATTTTCAACTGGATCTTCATAAAAATGCACTGGTGAAATAAATGTTCATAATTAATGACCAATTATGTACTATTTAATCATGCCAGTAGCAGAATTGATTACCATTAAAAATTGGTAAAGTAACATATCTTAAATGTGCAAATACCATCTTAGTATACTCTATTGTGTTAACCATTGATAATAAATGGCCACTAAATATATACCTATTACATAAAGCTTTTTAAAGAACAATAAAAATACAAATTCTATCTGTTAAAAAAAGCCATTGATATGGCTTCTAAACATCCTCATTATACAAATTCCAAAATACTATATGACAAACAAAATTATAAAGACTCTTCTTTATGAAACATATACTACCTTCTAATTAAGGTACAACTTAGCAGACAACAGAAAACAAACAAGAAGGTTTATATATACTGGAGAAGATTATGAAGATACATACAAACATAATATTGCATAAGCATATTTGATTTCTTTTCCTAGTGAAAATGTACCTTTAGCACTTGAAAATTTCCATGAGTAAAAGAAAAATCTATTTTTGAGATCTACCCCAATCCAAGCTCACATTTTCATTAATTTAACTTATTTTTCCCATAACGTGATGAATCACATTATAAATTTGACCACACATTTTTGTTGCAGCAAGTACAAATTACAGTCTGTTACATAACGGGCAAAGGGATAGGAAACAAACATTTTCAAAGGTCAAGGTTTATCAGCACATCAAGAATGAGATGCAAGAAAATTTTATTGTACACGTTAGACTAAACTAAGCAGCAACTTGACTTTTGTGAAAAATGAGATTCTCACTTCAACAAAACAAATACAAATTAAATTTGCTAAATATGTTTGATGATTCATAAAGAATAGTTGCCATAGATTTTAAAGCATCGACACTAATGAAGCATCACAAAATAAGCTTTGGTGAGAAAATATCTTTATCAAAGGAGAAAATATTGGATACTCTTATTCAGCGAGAAAAAATATATTTGGTAAAGATGGGCTATAGACATTGCAACTACAGGCAGCATATATTTCCAATATTTTTTAGGCAACATCAGATCAGATGATGTTTAGATGGTTGCAATATAAGCTATCCATTAGAAATTAAATTTTAAATGTTTTGTAAAGAGAAAATTTTCATTTTTTCCCCACGATCTTTGTTTATTAAATAAATAAAATATTTAGAGTATAACTCATAGTAACTAACATTATTACCTTGCTCTTACTAATAAATACTCTAAATACGTTTGGTTTAATTTTTATTGGAATTTATAGGATTTTTGTTATTTTACCTGTTAAAAATGACCTGGTGGCATTATATTCAAAGTTTACGTTTTTCCAATGACATGAACAACATTTAATACATAAAATGGCATCTGTCTAATGAATGGTAACATGTTTATTGGTTTGAATATAGAGCATATTTAGATTGATACTGGTATATCTCCTCAGGACTTTGAAAGGTATCATTAAGATATGGCTTTTGGGAGTCAGTAATAAACTAGCAGCCTGGAGAATGAACACAAATTTCAAGATGCTAATTATTTCTAATTCAGACACAAGGCAGATACTTGCATAATTTGTTTTTTGATTATAAATTCACCTACAACAGAAACAGAAAGGAACATAAAAGTATGATTTACTTACAGCAAGTTGTTTTTAAAATAAAACATTACAGATCAACAGAGAAGGTATGAGGAAATTCTACTGAAATAATTTTCAAAAAGTTAGATATTCAAAAATATATTGGCACATGTATAGTTCCTGTCATAAAGTAATAATGAATGATATATATGTCTATAAAACAAATTTAAGGTGAATCGGGATCTCTTGTTCTTGGCATCAGCACCTGCTGTCTACCGGGTCCAGACAAAATACTGTGCCTTCAAGAGTTAGTCCCATTTTGAACCCCTCCTGTAAAACAGAGTAAAATCATTGAAATAGGAAATGCTCATGGCAAGAAAAAAAAAAATCAGTAAATGAAAAATTCCACAAACAGAAGTTGAAATCTTCATGCTATAATATAAGAAATAATTATATGTCAAATGTTGGCTTGTCTAATTTTTGTATATGTGTATACCTCCGGGAGTTCTTCACACCCATTAGCATCTTAAATGTTTTAAATATATGTGAGATTAGCATGCATGAAAGACTGCAGAAAACAGAAATATATGGAATTAAGTAGTTTTAAGACAAAGTTTTTTTCAGTAAACTCTATTAATTATGCTATTTTATTGTAGCTTAAATCCCTCTGTTGACTTTAAGGATCAATATTCATTTGACTGTAAGTAAGACAGCTAGACCTCAAACTGATGAAAGGTTCAAGACAGCCTGATAGTTTTCACCTTTTCTTCCTGGTTATCACTGTCCAGAGCCTGGGTAAATACTTTTAGTAAACACAACGCCATAGCATATGTGGAACACAGAACTGCAGACTTCTTTGTCATGGAGAAAGCTTCCTCTACCAGTCCTGCTGTTGCTTGTAGTTGCAAGTTGTTGCTCTGAATCCCACTCCCTCTAGCACGCCTTAGATGTTTCTCGAAGTTAAGATGCCTTTGATTTATTGAGAGCAAGTACACAATTGCTGTGAAAGTTTTTTTTCTCCCCTAAGATTTTGAGTTAAAATTTAGTGGCGAAGGAGTTTGTCTTTCTCTACTCCAAGCTCTCTTCTTTTTTTTTGCATAAAATAATTGAACTATGGGCTATGTCTGGTCTTACCACCTCCCCCATCCCCATCCTTGCCCATAATCTATGTACACAGGCCTACAAAGAAGAGATGAAAAGTACAGACTCACATTAATCAGTGGAATTGGTGGCCACATTTTAGGTTTCCCTGTAGAAGCAATGTGGCAGTGTTCTCTCTCTCTCTGTCTCTCTATATACCTACCTTTCTTTCTTACTAACAGAACTGAAATTTTGTTCAGGGAGGTAATTTGTAGTTTGGGGTGGCCATGTGACACATTATTGGCAAATGAAACGTAGACAGCAATCTATTCCCGAGGAAAAGAAAACGTCTTTGAAAGAGAAGGGCTTTGTCCTCTGTTCTGCTTTGTGTTTTCTTTAATTAGATGGTATCTACTTGTGTGTTAGCCTATTGTGTATCTCTTTGCATTTCCCCAAATTACTTTCATTTAGAATAGGTATCTAATGTACTTATCTTATTACAAATCCAAAGCAAACATTATCCTATAGACGAAGAAAATCTTATAAACTGTAAGCCACACCTTAATGGCTATTAATGTCCAGGGAATGCTCTTCATTAGGTCCACGGCGCAAAGACCACATAGCAATGCCATCACTGTAAAGGTTTTCCAAAACTTCTTCCAAGTACTTAAGAAATTACATTTAGTTGAGCAAGAGTCAGGGTACTTACCCTTATTTTTTAAAAGCCTGTTCTTATCACAAGAAGAAGTATTTTGTCATATGTATGCATATTTTTAAACAGTTGCCAAATAGTAAAGTCAATACTTTAAATTGAAAAATATTATAAATAAACTGTCTTTTAAAATATTTTATTTGCCTATCTGAGGATCCGGGTACTCTGTCATCTTCTGGTATATTAGATGAACACACAGATATATAGATAATTGGATATATGTTACCCTTGGAAAGGTTTGATCCCATACAGTATTTTTCAAGTTTTATCAGTGCTTTCTGAAATCAAACCACTATCACTTCAACTACCCTGAAAATACTGTTTATCAATATGTTATCATTATTTGAAAGGCAGGATAGCAGTCAAAGTAAAATAGGGGTTGATCACTATTTCAACAATAAAAAAGCATCTGTACATCACTTACAAGACTATCCCCATGGTGATTTGATAAGGATCTTTTGGAGTCCCCTTAGATCAACTTAATCACCCCTATTAACAGACAAGTTGTTAAACGGCTCTTTGGTTTTCTATCCTCTTAAGATAAAATTTCCCTCACATTTTCTGACCTTTGCTCCTAGGTCTCATTTAGCAAATCATGATTTAATGGACTCTGAATCCTTCTAAGGTTTCCATACCCTCTTGAATTTCAAACCTCTGAATGAACATGAGGCTTTATTTATGTACTGATGGAAATTATCATAAACTAGTATCACATAAATGAATGATTTCATTATTAATATATTATTAATAACATACATTTTTATGAAATATTTTGCCCAATATTTTGTATTTTCTTATTTTGAAATAGGGAGAAAAGCATATGAAGGAAGGAAAAAAGCACTCTTATGCAACAGTTGTTAACACATTGTGAGGTATGTATTTTGAGTCTCCTTTGTTCTATCCATAGTGTTTTTAAACAATTTTAATAATAATATAAATAACTATATATTATATTATAATTTTCTTATTTATTTAGTGTATTACACATATAATGTATAATTTTCTGTATTCTTTTTTAATCTCACCAGAACAAACTTTCTACATTATTTTGAGTCCCTGTAAAACTGATTTAATGATTATATAATATGCTATTAATTTTTAAGATAATTTCATTGTTTCTAGTATTTTACAATTATGAATAAGGTAAGCTGGATATTTTTGTGCATAGAGATCTTCCAAATTTATAGTTATTTTCTCCTCAAAATAAACTGTATTAAAGTTTTTGATATCACATAGAAATATGAGTATTAAAAAATTATTCTCCAAAGGGATGCTGTGAACTGGTCCTGGCCCAGTAACGGTTTAGAGTGTTTGTTTCATTACATTTTCCCTGCACTGATTATCAATAAGAAAATAAAATATTCAATTTGCTGGATTAAAATAGCTTTTATAGTTCTTTACTTAATTTGTATGTTTTCTTTGATTAGACTGAACATATCTACACATATGTTAGCTATTTGTGGTCTTTCATGAACTACTGCTTTTCTATTTATGTGTTGATTGTTTAGTTTCCTAATCATTTGTCCACTTATTTTAATTACGTGTATTCATATATTTTTAAAGAGAAAATAAAAAACAACTACAGAAGTTCTCCTAAAAAAGACTGGATGTACATATTTTTCTTTTCCTTATAAAAATTTCTAATTCAAAAATATCATAAATATTCCATTGTATTTCAAACATTTTAAACTGCCTAATGCTTTTGATATTCATCTGGGTATTTGTTGTTAAGTTTTGACTGTAAAATGATCTCCCAAATTATTAACCAATTGACTTACCACTTAATGACAAATTCTTTCATCCTTCTTTGACTTTCCATGCTTCTTTTTTAATGTATTAAATTATTATAACTTACAAGGTACACTTCTGGGCTATCAATACTATTTGCCTATTGGTGACACATACCAGGAAGTCTAAATTGTGTCAAATCAAATAACTACATTATTGATTTCAAATAAATATCTAATTTTCTAACAACTTACAACATAAAATAACAACTTAAAATATAGCTTAACATTTCTGCTCAAATTCTTACATGCATGAGATATTTGTGTGATATCCACTGTAAATGAAAGAGGAAAATCAAATATCTCACTAGGCTTATTAACTCAACATGGTTTATACAACCCATTGTACTGTATTGTTTTTACATTATATGCAAAGATAACAGTAGCTAAATGTGTGCATTAGATTAATTAGGCTAACAAGATTACTAACAAAAGTCATCATAGACCATAGATAAAGAAAACATTATTTTTAAAGTGACCTTGCAAGTGGATCTTGGACTAAAAGAAACGGACAAGCAATGAGATGGACTATGGAATGGTTACTAAGTCATTGAGAAAACAACTTTAAAATATGGGTTATAAAACCTCTTTAAACACAACTAATAATCATACATATTCATATGAAACTGCTATTTGAATATTTATTAAATAAAGCATGCAAATATTAAAGTTTTAGGTTTAAGATGTAAGTTGTTTAAAATTATTATGAAAATAATATACCAACCATCTCTGGCGCTACCCACCATGAAAGCAGAAAAGAATAAAAAAAGACATTAAGAAAATATTAGAAATGACAAAAACAAATGCAAAACTACCACAGCTTAACATTATTTGACTAACACATCACTAAATCATTCCAACACAGTGTTTCTCAAACTGGGTTCCTACAAAAATCTGGAAATGTAGGCTGATTTTCAAAATCTATAGAAAATTTCAGTTTTGTGAAAATCTAAAACACATTAATAGAAAAATACTCTTTATAATTTGCATTATCCTTGAGAACAAATACTATCATATCAGTGCCCATGTTCATATTTGTTCCCACAAAAGCAAAGTCCCAAGTAGTACAAGCCTCATTGATAAAACTAATGAAAAAAGAAAGGAATTGATTTCACTAAAAAATTATGCCCTATTTGAGTGAAAGTTTTGTAATATTTGAAATGCAGAAAAGAGGTGGGGAAATTGTGCCATCAAACAGGATACGTGCTGAAATTAAAAGAATTTTGATATGGATGGTTTCAATTTCAGCCAAATAACATCACCCATTCTACAAAGTTTGTCAATGAATTTTATTAGGCGGTGTTGTAATTTTGCTTTTATTTAATTTACATTTTGAATTAATTGCGTGGGAGCTATAAGGATAAGTTGTTTATAACTTCTTTGTAAATACTTAAGAAATGTTTCAGTAACAATTTAAGACAATATTAAGGATTTAAAATAACTTTTCATGTAAAAGGGAATTGTGAATCACCCAACTTGAGAAATGCTGTTTTAACATAACCTTTGAAAACCTCAAGGCATATGTTAAATAATCCCACTTGTAAAGTGCAGGCATTATTATATCTAGAACAATAAGTAAATTCACCTGTTACCCAGAAAAGAAGACTGCTTCATGGCTGCTGTCCAAAATGAGCAGACAGGTATTCGTATTATCTTTCTAGGGGTGTTTTACCAATGTCGGAAGATCAGAATCCACCCATTAATTTTTTTTTCCAGGAAATGAGGCATAGAGAGTGAATATATAACCCAGACCTAATAAATGGAAGACTCTTCTCTTCACCTCCTCTCCTCAATCAGCTTCGTATAATTAGTCTCTGTCTGCATTCTATATACAGTCTTTGTAATGAAAAATAGGATAAAATAAGATATAATAACTTCACCAAAATGCAAAGGACAAGTATAAAGAGAAGAGTTTATTCTAGTGCTTATGAGACTACTTATTAATCATGGCTCACTGTATAAAGCTTTTAAAACCAGTATCTTCAAACTTCCAGAACAATTCAGCATTGAAAAATAAAAGAGAGAGAGAGAAATGAAAACCTGACTGGACTACATTCCTAAAAAAGTTGTCATGGGTGTCTGCTTTTTTAATAAGAGCCCAGAACTTATGACCAGCAGCTACAATGCTTCCTTTAAGAGAGACTGACTTTACTCTTACGAAGATTTTCCTTTATCCACTCATTCACAATTTTGAAATTCATAATTGTTAAGACTGAGATCAAATCTTATAAATCTAGTGCAATGACCTTTTAATTTGTGGACTCCAAAATAATGAACCATTAGAATCCATGTAATTTTGTATAAAATTATCTTGTTGACATTGTAAATTGCATCATTAAGAACAAAACGAAACAAAACCTTATCCTTAGCATCTATGGGAGTATTTTAGGGCAAAATGTACATTATTATTTTAAAATAATTATTTTCAGTAAGTTTTTATAGTGGTAATAATTCAAGCAAAGGGTAGTTTTGATTTATAACATTTTCTTAATCCCATATTAAAAAGAAAAAAAAAACCATTTATGGGACAATCTGTTAAAATAGTCACCTGCATCTCATCTAATTTTGATTGAATATCTGGAGGGAAATCCCCTGCTCCACAGTTAAATGGGTCAAAAGGTTCTGCTCCAAACAGGTCCCGTTCTAAAAGGAAGAAAACAATTTAGTAAATGAAATGACAAGAAATGAATTGGGGTGAGTTAGATTTTGAAGGCATGATTATATCAAGAAATATTTACCTCACCAACGAGCCCCGATCCACACTTACACTTTAGGCTAGGCTTTCCTGAGCTTAGACTAGCTAAACACTAACAAGGAAGCAAAGATCCATTTTAGGATGATATTAAAAACTGGTTACAAAGAATTATTATCCAGAGAGGTTTCTGAGTCTTTAATTAAGACAATATTAAATTTACCAAATATTTGGTAATCAATATACTATAATACCTGCAATACTGGAGCCATTTAAATGTACTAAAATTAATATACTACTCATTGAGACTTCCCTAGTCCATGTATGGTGACTTTGCAACACAATAGTGAAGCAATATGTACACTTGGGCAGATTGGTAAGTAGTTTTTCTCACAGTTCATGTACTTTAATCTCACTTTTTAGCCAGAAAAATTTAAGGCATATCATCTTATGTCGCATGCAGTCATATCATCTTCCTACATAACCACAATGAGAGAAGTTCTTTAAAAATCCTCCTAACCCAGAAACAAATTTCTTTTCAAAAATAGCAGTAATGGATTATCAGAAGCTCTCTGTACATATATTCTACAGTATGCATCTTTTTAATCACTAACAAACTATCAAAATTAAAACTGATGTTTGTACCTGATAAGACTATGACTTATTGTGTGATTTAAAAATTTTAAAAATGGTTAAGAAATTTCTTTCCTCTGAATCAATTCAAATGCAGCCTTAATTGACAAAAAATTTTACATTATATACAGGCACGAGAATTTATAATGTATTAAGACTTTCATTTTGCAGAAAACTATATTATCTAAATTCAGCGCTATGTAAGAAATAATATTTACTCTACTGGAGTTCTACCATCGCCTCTAAACCACTCTGACTCCCATCATGAAAAATTCTTACTTCCCTAATTATAGCTGAGTTTTTTTGTTTTTCAGATTTATGTGTTAAATAGGTTAATAAATGTAAAATTTTTTGAACTTCCTGGTGCTGGTAAGTATTGTATAAATAAGAAGGACATATAATTTACCATACCAATAGACACTTTTAAGAGTGAAATGAGTGTGACCAATAGTTTCACCAGGACAAAAGGCATAAGCAAGGACTGTCTTCAACAAATGGGAATTTATTGCCCCCTTCTATACAATTGATGGGTATTATTATTGTTTTTACTACTTATGTTCCTCAGTCTGATGTTGTTTAGGCAATAAACCAGAACTTAGAGAACAGAGGAACTTTCCATTGGAGGAGTATCCTGGTTACCACCGTCCCAGAAGCACATCAAACAATGCTTTACACATGGTAGATACTGGGCAAAAGGAATGAATTAATGAAGAGGAAGGAGAGCTGATCAGAAGGAACAGAGATTTTCATTACACAGATTTTCTGAAATTGGGACTCAAAATCACCAGAGAGCTCAGATGGGTTTTAAGGGACCCTTGACATTCCTGAAATGCAATGTGAAATTTTGTATGAACGGGCATGTTGTGTTTATCTGTGAAGAGGTTTCCTAGCTTTTATCATATTCTCAAGGGTCCATGACTCCTCCACAAGTTAAGAAGTTTCTACTTTACATAATTAAGTAAAGATATTAATACCATGCAAATTAATAAATATTACAGAGCTCTTTGGCATATTTTGGCCAGCTCAGATGGATCTAAAATTCATAACAAAAAATCATGCAAGTTCAATTTCCAATGAAAAAACTTCGCTATGTAATTAATAACATCAAAATTATTTAAGTCTAATGCAAGAGTAAAAGAATAAAAACTAATAGGTGACACTTCACTCAGTCATTCTTTCCTTTATCCACTAAATATTTATTGAACACATATTACGTGCCACGCATTTTGCTAGGCAATGGATTAAAGTAGTGAAAAAAGAACCAAGTGCTTTCCCTCACGGAATTCATGGTCAATCAGGGAACATAGCATTAAACAAATTAATCAAATTCTAATACATATTCAAAGATCAAAAATATGTTCTGGAGAACAACCAGGGTTCTCAGGCAGTAAGGAGAGAAACTAAGGAACAATCTTTTAGGTTTCGGCTTTTATGTATTTAGTTGATAATAAAAGAAATGAATGAATACATTTAAGGCTTCATTTAAGAAAAAGTCCTATTACTACAACTCCATTGGATTAGAGTTTTAGACAATTTTACAATTAAAATTGAGTTGAACAATTTGTCCTTATATTGTTAGTATAGATAGAAAGATGAAAAGATAGAGAGATAGATAGATAGATATGGTATAGTGGCAACTAGGACTCTATCTATCTAAGTAATCTTTCTATCTATTGATGTATTATTGTATTTACTAAACTATGACACTCAGGATAGGTAGACAGGAAAAAATTACTTCAGCTTCTCATTAATAAATCCCTTAAAACCATTTGATCATCTCTGCCTAGATTTTCCAAAGGCATTTCAAACTCATCAATGTCTAAAACAGAAACATTATTTTCTCCTTCTTTACCTCTAGTTTCCCTGTGCTAACAATGCTTGCTCTAAAACCCTGAACCATAATTGATTTTGAATTCTCAATTACCATCCTGATAGATGATTCCTTCTAAATATTATAAAATCTAGTCACTCTGCTCAATTTATATTTTGACTTGGATTAAAAGCCTCTATTGCAGATACATTGCTAATTTATATTTCAAATTCCAGCATGTAACCCAAGTTTAGTGCATATGCTAAACAAATGCCCATTAAATTAAACAAACGAATGAGGAATCAATGATGACGTCCATGGAAGCGAAAAACAGGGGTAAGGAAGAGATGTGGGACACTCTTCAGGACAAAAAAATACCCTACTGTGATATCAGGATGTTGGCAACATCTTCTAAAAACACACTGTGATGTGTATAATGTGGATTATTTCCTCAAAAAAACTATTTTGCATTGACACAAAATATATTCAGAGGAATTTAAATATATATTTCAGCTTACATAAAGTATGGAAATATTTTTATAAATTGTCTTTTAAGTTCCCAATGTTATTGCTTTGTATTTACAAATTAGTCCTCTGAAATTTATTAAATACCTAACATGTGCAATGTACTTTAAGTTCCACAGGGGGAAACAAACTATAGGCCCCGACATGCTTTAAAGCCTTAAGCTAAAACTTGAGAGTTATATTGGAAATGTCTTAATGTGTCCATTTTCCCTGTGGACGTCATGACTGATCATGGCCATTGGGAACTACTCTTTTCATTTTTGTGACAGGGCACAGATCAGAACACAGTCAAGACATGGACAGTGAGCATCTGTGGATGCTTGCTAATTCATCAGAAAGAGACTTTTATGTTCCTCCCGGATATATAAAAGGTAAATCAGAAAAGCAAACTATTTATACCAATTTAGTTATCGAAAGAAGAACCCTCACATTGGGTTAATAAATAAACAAATTATGGAATTCATAAATTTATATATTTCTTCAACTAAGACTATCTATATACTCTGATAACAAAAAATTTAAATTGAGCTCTATTAAACATGTCAAAATGATTAAAATAATTATCACCAGAATTGCTTTTAATCATTAAAGTAAACATTAAAAATATAAGCCCAAACACAATAAAAATATAATTAAGTGCTTTGTATTATGATGTAAATAACCCTATACCAAAATATCAGTTTTCATAAAAGAGTCTGAAATGCAAATAGTGATGTCTTTAGCAGTATACTCTGATTACAAAGTGAAATATAATTAACTGAATTTGCCACATATATATAAAGATAATACTTTAGTGATTAAAATTTTTAGTGAGCTTGTTAAGATACGTAATTTCTCATAAAGTATTAAACATTTAAAATGTACACAAATACAGCACAGAATATTGATTCGTTTAGAAAGCTTACTAATCTCGGTAGATCTGCTAGGTACTGGAGGTGGCTGTGTGCCATTGCGAGTAGGTATCGAAGACTGATGTGATATTGGAGAAAATGGAATCATATCAAAGATGTCAGTGGAGGGTGACTTAGGTGTCACACTGCCTGCCTGTAATGAAGATAATATGAATTAGGGTAGTAGTTCATGTAGACACGTTATAATGTTAAATATTTCATATACATATAAAACATATATACACAACTCAGCTGAATCATATGAACTTATTTTGTAGATCAAAAAATAGTTAAATATTGGCAAGTTCATATGATTCAACAAGCTATGCCAAATGCTCCTTGGCAAGAAAATTTCTGCAAAAATGTTCTCAAAGATGATGGCAAAAATAGTGACAATACTATCCTACATAGATATAAAAGTTATATTGGATTTTTTGTATATCTAGAAATAACTGCCATTTATATCAGAGATTGAAAACATGTTAGGAATTATATAAAAACCTGATTTTAGTAATATATTTTGCATAAGATTATAACTAAATTTTAACCTTATGCAATAAGATTTAAAAAATTTTTTTAAATAAAGTTTTAAAATTGCTTAAATGTTTAAACTTTTAAAAATTTATATTTAAAAAACAATTTTTAAAAACTTTAGAGTGTATTTTAATTTGTATTTATAACTACAATGGCAGCCAACTATTATATTCATTGCAGTGCCTTTTATTCCTGAAATAAAATTTCATCAAATTTTCTATAATAAATAGCTAACTTGTGAAATAAATTAATAATCACTAAATATACCACCAAAATCATTAAGTTATCTATGCTAGGACATAATGTAAGAATGAGACAATCATCACTTTGAGTGTCATACGGGGAAAAAGATATTTACATATATATACACAAAGATTATATATATAATATATGATATAATCTATAGTTATATTATAGTCTAATATCATAATCTATAATTTATAATCTAATCTATATTATATATACTCTATAAAACAAAGAGAATTCTCATTTTGGAGAGGAATGGTGAGGGAAAATTTGCTTTCCTATAAGAACAAGAACAGAGATTGCTTGAAGTGGTTCATATTAAAATTAGTGCTCTCAGAATACATTTGTTTTTCTGGTTTGCAGATGATGCAGATAGTGAAGAAAAATAAGGCTAGCCATGTGCAGAGTGATGGATTTGCTGTTCTGTTACCATGACTGTCAGCACTTTTTTCATGCAGGAACATTGTCGTCATCTCCCTTTCTTTAACAGTTTACTTTACCAGTCAGTCATAACTACCATCCAAAGACTTCAGGGCAACCTTATCCCTCAGCTCTTCCCTCTTGCTCAGGAACATTGTGCTCCTAATCCTATCCCTCTAGCTCCCCTGGCTTCCATCTCTCTCCTCTTTCCCAGGGTAAAGATACTCAATATTGACCGTTGTTAAAAACCAACCAACCAACCAAAAGCATCTTTATTCTGTCCCTCTTTACTCCTTTAGACTCTCATCTCTCTTTTTCTCCCCTTCAAAGTGAAGCTCCTTGAAAGAGGTACTACACTTGCTGCCTTAGCCTTTACTTCACTCAATCCTCAACTCACATCAATCTAGACTTCGTTCTTTTTTGCTGAACTCTTCTGAAACTGCTTTTATCAATATCACCAATGACCGAATTTCTCAATTGCCGTATCTGATGGATCTTTGGAAGGACCTGTCCTATTTTGTACTTCTGTGGACTTGTCTACTATCACCACTCCCCACTTGAAACTCTCTGATATCAGGCAAGCAAAGGAAGCAAAAATGACACACCAAGTCCCCAGATCACAGCACATTGATTCAAGACATACCTGATTTTTTCATTACTATATAAATGGCACGTTTTGGCAGATTTAAAAAAAAATAAGTAGGATAATAAAAAAATTTCTGTTTAGCAAATTACATGAGGTCTTGGGATGCTGCTCTCACTGACTGGCTTGGGAAGGCCACATTTAGAAGGTGGTGGTACTAACAGTCCCAATGAGAGTCTGGAATCAGGCGAGTTGACAGGAGTGACAGTAATGGAAGAAATATTTAGACAAGGAGATGAAACATCACTACTACGCCAGAAAGAGGATGCGCATCTCTGAAACCCGTGTTGCTCATGATCGGACATTTTGTGCAGCAGCTGTAAAGGAATGACAGAGAAATATACTAAGGAGAAGAAAGGAGACATAGAGAAAGAAGGAAAAAGTATATATGAAAATTTCTTTATTGAATGTTATTGTGTGAAAATGATAAGTAATTTTAAAATAACTTTACTAAAATTAAAACGGTTTGAGTAGATTTTCCTATTGTGATAGTCCTTAGATCCTGGATTAATTTGACCATTTTTCACTGAAACATTACATCTTTAGATAATTAAATAAAATATTGCATTCAATATGACTTGAGAGGAAGACAGTGGAGAGGAAAATGGGGAAAGCTTTAAGATTTATTTCTGAGAGATCCCCCGTGCAATGAGATGGGGAAACGAAGGATAGTAATAAGAAAAAAACAGTCATTGAAGCAGGAGTAAAGTCTCGTGAAAAGTTAAAACTTTGCAGAATTTTCAAAAACGGTTACAACATACATTTTAGATTTAATCCTCAAAACATTCTTTGGAAATATTAGCATTAGTGACATTATGTGCTAAGAGATGGGAATTAGGCTCATGGATTCTTTGCGACTTATTCCTATATGAGGTAAGAAGCAAAGCCAAAATTCAAAACAATCTGACTCCAATCATCACGCCCTTTCTATAGGCAGTAAGTTCCAAATGGTAAGACTTTTGGAAGATGGGCAGAGAGTCATCAAGCATCTCAAATAAATCAGAAAGATAATAAATAATACAATAATAAGCAAGTAGTACACTGTAGTGGGTCTAAACATCAGTCTTTGGATGACTTTCAGCAGCTATTTCCATTACATCATGGAAAGCTACTGTCAAGAGCTGAGCTGGAGAGAACTGAGCTGCCAGAAGTCAGAATGGTCAATTAAAACAACAAGCCAAAATGAAAATAATAATTAAGCCTTTATTCACTTACTTTATTCACTTACTGTGATAGTATAAGCAAGAGGCCAGAAAGAAGGTGCTGGCTCCATCAGTGTCCCATTTTTAAAATTCCAAGGAATGGCACTGAGCAAAGGTCAAAAAGATCAGTGCAGAAGCAGGGCACTGGCTCTCCCTTGAGGGAGCCCTGAACAAAAGGTTCCTGCTGGTTTTTTTAGGGGGTGGGGCAGGGAGCTTGGGTGGGGCAGAAGGAGGGAAAGGGGAAGGGCCAGGAGAAGCAAGGTACTCAATACTGAGTCATAGTGGAGAAGAGTATCAAGGCCCCCAGAAGATGGTCTGACAGAGGCACTTAAGAGAGGCCTTGGCCAAGGGCCTCCAACAAGGAAACCTCTGAATGGAGACACCTGGGCTGGGAATGCAGCTATGGGTAACGGCATGGCGGGCCTGGCGGGCATGAGACTGAGTCTTTGACTGCAACTCCTCCTAGGGTGCACTAAATCTGTTGTGGGGAGGGGCCTATCCCACCTCCTGCCTTGCCGGGTAAAGCCTTTGTGATCACTTATGATAGGGCCTGATAGGATTTGGCCTAAAACTGGACTTCTCAGCTATAAGTCAAGGATTTTTCAACACTAATGGCACTCAGAGGCAGCCAACACAAAGCTGGCTTTTGATAAACCTCCTTGTGAAGGGTTGTAACCAAAATTTTAGTGAGGAGAACCAACAAGTTTGAAGGAAGCCTTTAAGGTAGGAGTCACCTCCTCAGTATATTTCTGGAAGCAGAGGGGCAAACGAGGCAGTATAATGTGACAGATTTAAGTTGATGGAAGAGTTCAGTGTGGAAGAAAATCTCAAATGGTCTGAGTTACATAATTTATCACTGTCCGACGGTCTGAGTTACATAATTTGTCACTCTATTAATATGCATGTACAGTTATATAATTACAGCTTTCCGTATTGATCTCCATAGTGATCTATCTATCTATCTATAGATATGTACACATGTTTGCATGTATGTATATAATTTTAAAACCTATTTTATGGTCTACATGGTTTACTGTATAATTTTGTGATTGGTGATCACCTTTTACTTAATTATAGGTGACAACTGTAAGCTCCTTATGGATAAAATTTTGATTTCTAAAATACTCTACATAACACATTAGAATACTAGAGTACTAGATAAACTGTCAATAAATATTTATTGTCTAATTTATACTACAACAATTTTTTTTAACTTAAACTGTACATTGATAAGGATGTCTGTACTGAGTAAAACAAAATGAGATATTAAGTGGAAATTGTCCTTGGTATCATCTGGCTTATAAATGAGAGCACTAGATATTGTTTTTTGACCTGTATTGGCCAAAAAATCTTTCCCAGGTATCTCAGAACAAAAGGGCAAAACAACCTAACTTAAAAATGCTCTAGTGTTTATCATGGTGTTAATATTATGCATTCTACTTCCTCTCAGAAGGTACACTTCTACAAATGAAGAACGTATATATTATGAAAACAATCAAGTATTTAAATACCCCAATTAAGAGTTATTTTCACTTTCAAAATGGTAAAGCAGGGATATCCATCAATGGTTTTGGTATCTAAAGTTTAAGACTCTAATACTCCCTAACTATTACATGTTTCCTTTGAGTCATCGTAATTTAGATTTGGTCAACTGGCATCTCTGTTTGGGTCACACAGGTCTCTTTAAATATTGATTCAGTTGCTTGCAGGTCTAAGTATTAAGAGATTGCATGTTAAAATCCTAAGCGTTTCTTGAGAGGTTACAAAATCTAGAAAATGGGCCCACAAACTTGCATGAAAATAATTGACTGGTATTGAGTATTTGCTGTGCCTTTTAAGGTGGTGTATGCTCTCCCATTCATCACTACCACCACATGCCCATCTCACACATTTACCTCGCAGCCCGGGCTCTGCTGACATGTGAGCTGTGATTCCTAACTTAGAAACAATTCAAGTCAAGGAATTAGATGTTACATCTGATTCCTCATAAGAATGAAGTCTAAGCCCAGAATATTTAAATATAGGGTATTTCACTATTGTCTGATTCTGCGCCAACTATTAGGCCTACTAAATAAGAATAAGAACATGTGAATATAGCACCTAAATGGCAGACAGTGACATTTTTGGCTCTAGATAAATATTTTGAGTGGTGTCTCTAAATTTAAGGGATAAGGAACTAGTCATTTTTAAGCTGCCATTTTTAACTGGTTGAGGATATTTATTTTTTTTAAAGAAATTAAACACATATTTTAGATGAAAATAGTTTGATATCTTGGGGGGGGGGGCTAGACGTTCTATTAGTATTTTGACAGATGGCTGGAAACCAAAACTTTTGGACTTTCCTACAGAAGTTCATGGCACCACTGTTTATGCTCATAATTCCAAGTGCTTTGGTCTCTAGGAAGGTGCACAGAATTTGAATTATTATACTAAGGGGAATGAGGAATTCTATGCTCAACAATTACATGTTAATTATGCAGAAGTTGTTAGGTAATAATGGGTGCCCATATTTGAGATGCATCATTATTGCTTTGTAGCTTGCTCTTTTGGCAAGAAGTAGCTTGGTGCATTTAGGCCATGGTGAATATTTCAGCCTTGAGCTTTGCCTAAATGTGACAACAATGCTGAAATGTCATAAAAGGGTTTGAATCCTCTCAGTAAATCTTGAATATATTTAAACCACAACAACAAAAGAACTGCATTAAAGATTAAACAGTTCTGTGGTAATATCTATAGAAATATTAGAATGATACTGAAACTTTACGCTATTGTTTTGGTGATATAAATCTTTAAAGCCCCTTTTATAATACACAACAAACAGCTATAAGATTAATATATGATTTATTATAATTATTAAAATAGAAGACTTTCAAAATTCTACTTAGAATTAAATTTAAAAAGTAAATTTGTTAAATTTATATTTTAAATATAGATGCCTAAATTAAATTTTTCTAGTTAAAAAACTGGTGGATTATAAATACACTAAAGATGGGACAATATAATGGTAATGTAAAATGTTCTAGCAAATCCTTTTATATTGCCATGCTGATTCATACTTTTAAAGCTCACTACTGTGGCACATTCTCAATATCACTTTTTAAATAAGCTTTAAAAGTAACAACTCCTAGAATTTAGAATTTTTAGCACCATGAATGTATTTTTTGATTTCTAGATCCACAGTTGGGTTATACCGGTCTCTTAGTTGTAAAATCTATTATCTTATATGTTCTTATAAGAATCTTGCAAGTTAAATGGATATGATTGTCTACATATCCCAAAGAGGAAAGCTGGAACCAGGAGATTAAATGACTTGATCAGGTGCTCATGATCAAAACTGGAATGAAATATATTTTTCTTCCCATTAGGGTTTACTTCTTTAGAATCATCTTTTGTTCAAGTAACAGTTATGAAAGTGAAGTCGTGGACTAGTAATCATTTTTTGTGGGCATCAAATGTTCTTGAATCAATGTTCATGCTTAAAATTTATGTCTTTGTTTAAAGATTCACATTTGGCTTGTTGTGTAATTGAGAGTTTTCACAATCTGCTCTTGCCCATCTTGACTTCAATAGTAGTTGAGAAAACACTGGAAGATAAATAGGCAGTTTTGTTTACCCACAATGAAATACACATTTTAGGTTATAATTGTCCTATCAAGTCTAATCAGCGGCCACACAGTTGATTATGTAAAGGTAGAATTTTATCCACTAACACTTGGTTTAATTGAAAGGGAGACATTTATTTTGCTCAGCAATAGAAAGTCCAGTGTTTCTTAGGACTACAATTTTATTCATTTAACTTTCTGGCAATAGTCTGATTTGGTTAAAAGCTCCTATAGCCAGAAAAATAAAATGTAAGTATCCAGACACAAGAATCAAGAGGAACAATTTTATTTAACTTGCTATGCCCACATCTTATAATGGAACAGTCTTCTGGAGGCGTTCATGAGGCTAGGAGGGCAGAATAAACCCTTTTTTATGATATAAATACAGGCAGCATGGCCATGTGAATGTAATAAATGGAAATCAGATTGTTCCTAGATAATTAGTACCAAATGGTGGAAAACCCAACCTCTAATCTATTGCCAAACCACTAGAACAGAGCAAAAGGCAAATAG